TCACGGACCGGAGATCTTGGGAGAACTCCCGGCATGTAGGACTCAAACGAACGTATAATCAGAGTTCCGCCCTTGATATCCCTAATTTTTCCCGTCCAGATAGCTTGGACGCCCCATGACAGCTCCCCTTTGAGCGAAGGGTTCATCGACTCCACTAGGAATGAGGCTTCCCATCCCTGCCGTCGGGAAGAGCGAGGTACTTTGATTCGGAGGCCAAAAGACCGCTTTTTCCCTGCGAGAGTACCCTTCCGCGAAGCGACGGATGTAGTGTAGACACGACGACCTTCATCTATTTGGACAGGAAACACATTGCGAGAGAAATTTCGAAACTAGTGTACCTACGAGAAAGCGTCCGAGGGGAGCTGTCTCTTAAATTCTACATGTCCTCCGGGGATGTCGAGTTTTTTGTTTTCCCGTCGTGCTCCGCGCTTGATTGCCGGGTCTGACTCGCGGGAACTCGTCACCGTGAGAGGAGCTTCAAGCTCGGCAGAACTTCCCACGATGAGAGGAACTTCGAGGAACTCGGAGGAACTCGCTGGGAGGGTTCTTCCCTGTCGGGTCGCTTTCAGCTCGAAGATTCTGACTCCTTAATGTCTCGGCGCGAGCTGATTTTTCCGTATGCCTTCTATCGGGGGCTTCTGCAGCGCCGGATCGAATGCTGATAGCGTTCGGTGTATCAGAATCCGGGGAACAGTGGACAGTCAGGTGTGTTCTTTTTTATTGTCGAGTGTTTTTATGCCTGCCGGGAGCCCAGGACCGGAATGGCTCGGTAGATAGCTGACCAATATCTTCCTGCTGCACTCACGCACCCTCTGACAGCCAGACGGTCGGTCGGTCGCTCGGTCAGCCAGTCCGTCGGAGGCTCGGTTGCTCGCTCGCTCGCCCGTTCGTTCGCTCAGCCGGTCACTCACCGAGCTTGCCATATATCGCTATGCAAAAACCTCCTAGCAATCCGATCCAATGGTCTTGAATCAGCCGCGATTGCCGTTGCCTGCGGCAGACTCGCCGCAGTCCCCTGGTGGCACTGTTTATCGGATGGGGGATCTATGTATGTAGGTCGTCATCGATAACCTCGATGTGGAAGACCACGGGAAGCAGAAGCCTCTTGCCTCGACGGAAGTTGTGCCGGCGACCGCAAAGTCAACTATCCCGGAAGGACAGAACAGCCGCGAGCCACCTGCCAGACCCGTTGACGAAGTTGAATTAATTATCCTCGTTTGGTAAATTTTATTTTCTCTGGAAAGAAGTTCGTCAGCCAATACCGAACGCGAGGGTCAAGACAAAACTTGAGACGGAAGGATCCGGAAACGAGCTCGAGCCTTCCCTCTAGCGTTGAAAACGACGTGGGCGAGCGCGATTCGCAGACTTCGGGTTCCGATACAAATCGTCGATCCGCCGTGGATCCTCCTGATCGAACAGTTCGCGGCTTTAGAGTCGTCGTTTCTCGCCGAATTCCGGCGCGAAACAATACCGAGGGAACAAATGTTCTTTCGCTTGTAGGGATCGCGGCTCTTTGAAATTGGACCGCTTCCATCGTCGTGGCCGACCTGTAGGAAACGTCTAAGCGGAAGATGTCAGTCAGGCTGCGCCAACGTCGTCGGTCGGTCCTATCTCGCAGCTGTGGCCTCGTTGGTTTTGTTGCCGACTTTTTTCCCAGGTGCTGCTGCAGCAGTGTACACCGACCGATCGTAGACGGGACCGTCCAAAAACGGCCTCGCGAAACTGTCCGCAAAGCCGTTCGAGAGTGAACCACTGAATGTGCGGTCGAGTGCAGAGTTTGACCGCTCGAAGAGACAGGTGCGTCTTCTCAAGCGAATACTTGTCGTATGTCGGAATTCGACTCACCGCACCATGGACCGCCTATGGAAACGGAGAAAACTTTGATTGAAAATGGGAAATTATTCGGCGGAGCACTCCATTAGTGGAGACTCTCATCATGTCTCGACCTGCAATGGCTGAACTGATAGATCGAGAAATTAAGCTCTGGGATCGATCTCGAGACGAGCAGCCGAGATCGCGGAGACGCTCTAATTTGTTCAGATCGAGTCAAACTCCCCTGGCAGCGAATTTTCTGAATTCGGAGATAAGAAGGACGCGGACGGTCGGACGGACGTTGGTAGGCTGTCCATGCTTCGATGCTTGCTGTCGTCGAGCTGAGATGCTGTCGCGAAGCTCGAATGAGGAAAAGAAGACGGGGGGGAGATATCGGGATTGAGACGAGACGTAAGATCCTACTTCCCTCTCTTTTTTTCTCGATACGCCAAGTGAACGGCAGATGCACTCGGGCTGAGGCTCCGAATGGAAGGTGAGAGCCCCAGCAATACAAATGTTGCTGTCTTCCCTGTTTCCCATCGTAAGCATGCTCCTTACCGATTCTCTCATCGGTAGGTTGCCCGGCCGTTTCCTTTGACAGTTTCGACACTCGCGTGCGCCCCCTCCTTCGTTGACGCAGTCGTTCACGTTTTTATAAAGATCTATGCGCACTCCCCATGGAACCTCCCCTCTTGAATCGTTCACATTCTTCCGGGTTCTTCCTGTGCACCCTTTCCCCCACCCCTCTCGTTAAATCGAAATTCCTCCTGATGTCTTCTCTTCAGTCGCGTGTTCTCAATGCGACTCCGACGAGGTGAAACAGAGCTATTTATGAACGACTACGGTTCCACAGTTTCCCATTATGGTTACGTCGACGACGGCCAGAGGGCAGGGGAACGCGTAAAAGCCTCGACCTCGCCCCGATACGTAAGAGCGCGCAGGCCGTCGTCGGCAGGGATCGAAGGTCTTCTTCCTAATCGAGATGAATGGTCACTCGAGGTGGTGGCAGCGTTGCCGCCGGTCTACCCCACCGGTAGAGGAATGAGATCGATCGTCCCACCCTGCCCTCGATGGTGCCCCCGGGCGTAAAATCGATTCCTAGCGTCGACCTCCAGTCGCCGGAGTGACGCAATGAGCACGTTCACGTGACCTCGCCACGAAGGGTCGAATTCTGTGAATTCCATCGGGAACAGTCAGAGTCGTGTTTGTTGTGTCCTCGTCTCCGAGGATGGTGTTCGTCGTCGCTGTTCAGCCCCTCCTTCGGCGTCAACGAGGGAAGAGCAGACGGCCGACTGTTCGAATCATCTTTCAATGCAGCCGTCGACATTCTACAAACTTGAAAGGTCCCCACAGACATCGATTCAGATCGTGCGAGACACGGCAGGGACCATCCGGCTCCTGCTTCGCTAGTCATTCGAGATGTGAGCGATGTGCTTCTCCTCTAGAGTTTCCATATTTGCGAGTTCGAAGTCTCGCTCCCCGTGCTCTTGGTGTGCTCCCCTTAGTGCACTGTTCCCCCAATCCTTTTCCATTTTACTTCTCCCTCCGTATTTCTCCCTCAATTTTTTTCTTCCCTCTTCTATTTCTTGGATTTCTCTTTCCTCATCATCTCGCGTCGTGTCGATGCACAGCGTGCGTTCACGGAGAGAACTCTTTCAAACGGCTCTCAGGTCGAGTGGAACGCCGGAAACCAGACGATGTGGTAGAGCCTGGATGTCATTTGGGGGGACGTCATCGCTGCTCAGGGTAGCGACACGATTGAAATCTTCCGATTCTACTTATCCTTTCGCTCGAGCTTCCGCTTTCGTTTTGTTGTGCCGCATCGGTACGAAATTGCCCGTTGTCATCGATGACAACATCAGCAACCGGAGCGAGGCTTCTGCGGAAATCGAACGATGGAGCTCTGGGAGCGGAACGAAGGGATGGACATGGAGGACAATTTGAAACGTTCTCCTTTCTTCATCCCATTCCGCTTCTGTCGTCTCGGCCGCTCCTCGGCCGCAAGAGAAGCAATTTTCGGGTAAATGAAGAAGCAGGAAAGATCCTCTTACGAACAGATCTAAGGCCGAAAGCGGATAGGTTCTGCGTACAAACTGCACAGACCTTCTCTTGTACGTCTGTAGGTATGTCTAGAGTAATGGAAGCTGACGGTTCAGCTATGAAAGAGAGATGATTCTCTTTCTGTAGACCTGATCTCAGCTCGCGTCGCTACTCACTATCCGAGAGTTCGCTACGGAAACTCCATGCAATCCAATTTCATCCTCGGACGGCAACGACCGATTTGCGGTTCCGCCATAGGGAAGGAATGGTCGGGGATGATATTTTGATAGTCGTTAGAGATTTATTTTAGAGAGGGAGACGACTCGAATCATGCCTGACGCGGCGATTTGGTGGGGCAAAGGAGAGGAACAAAACCAAATGCCTGAAGCCTGCAGCAGACTGGCTGAATATCAGGCTCGATATCAGAGCTGTCTTCTCGGGCGTGATGGGAAGAGCCTATTCACCTGTGGAGCTTCTATTTTGAGGCGGCTGCGTCGCACCCTCCTCTTTCCGCATCATGAACCATTTTTGCACTTTATGCATCCGCCACAATCGGCACAAGAAGAGGGAATCGAGACGAGTCGATCCATTGGCTGTGCATCTGCGAGGCTCAGGAGGGCGGAATGACATTGAATCAAGCACAATCGACCGAAATCGATCGCGACCTTAGATGCGGCGACCGCGCGATAGCTTGGAGGACCTCTCAGCTACGGAACATCCCGCGGAACGGTCTCCCAGCAGCTCATGCTATCGCCAGCAGTTGAAGATAGCCGCTTATTCCGGTGGAATCAAGTCAGCGATTGCACCCTCGAGACCAGTGGTTCTTCGAGTGCGATCCAACACCTTAGTGGAATTCACGTAGTTCCTCGTCGGACATGTCGCTCGACAGAACCTGGATCGACTAGAGAACACGTTTCTGCTCCATGAACATCCAAACCGAACGACCGGCGCTCGCTGAGCGAACCGGATATCTCAATACAATTTATTCATACCGTCCGCAATTCGCTCAGTCAGTCCCTCGAATCCCAGACTCCCCTGCGATTCTGTCAGCTGATCGAAGCACGCATACTTAGTTGGACATATGTGCGTTTATGAAGCGCGCAAACTCACTTCCCGCATTTATTAATACCCATGCTATTATTTCGCAGGCTCGTCATGCCCAACGCCACAGATCCGCTTCAACGATAGCACTCATCCCGGCGATGAGGCCACCTTCAGTAATGTCGAGGATATTCTTTTCGCCGGTCTGCTCAACGACGGTCAGCAGCGAGTCTGCAAAATTTCCTGCGTCAACGGCTCGTGGATAGGACCGGTCTGCTCGAGCAATAGCGACGGTAGGAGTGCCTGCCTAGGCCGACTAGGCACTGCGTGCGTCCGAGGCTTACTTGTTGACATTGCGGATTTACTGCCTACTCATATGCGTGCTCCGTCGATAAGACGCGAACGGAGTGAGTACGCGACAACGGCAACATCCGGGGGCATTATCGCGTTCGATGTGAGCGCTTGGTCTGATTTGCTGCTTGGTTTCGGCTCCGGTCGCCCGGAGTCCGAGGTATTCAGCGCAGATGGGAGCAGCGACAACTCGTTCGCAAGGAGCTTCGGTAGACCGTTTCTCAGTCGATCTGTCGTAGTTTCCCCCACATCATGAGAGCCATTCCCCCAGCCATGAATGTTGCACCATGAATCCCGACACCGGGATCCGCGTGAGAGGGATAGTTGAGTTCATTGTATTATATTAGAGGAAGAAAGTCATTCAAGAAAAAAATCTCGGTGTTGCCCAGCCTGAAGTGCGCGCCTTCACAGTGCCATACCCTTGGGACAAAGGAGAGGATTCCGGAGAGGAGGGAAAGCTCGGGCAATTTCTTGGATCGCGGTGCTCGCTCAGTCGCTCGAACCGCAACGACGACGCTGAAGTCGCCGATGACGTTATTACGCGCGTTCATTCAAAGTTAATAGCGGTCCGTTGGAGTGGAAAAGTTGCCGCGGTGGCGGCTTCTCCTCTCTTCACTCATCCCTCTGTTTCTAGCCGGCTCGCCGGTCGAGACGACGCTCCCGCTGCGAAAAGGAAGTTTTCGAGATCCGACACTCGCTTGTTCCGTTTCGTGACGGCCGAGAACGCGGTCGGGAGTTTGCATTCGCAACAGGCGGGAACTGGTCGCCTCTCGCGAACACAAACGCTCGCCCTAACGAGGGAAGCTGACATTGCGGATAACCGTAGACGAACAGAGGGGTGGGGAGGGAAGAATTCGGTTCTCAGCTGCCGTCCGACCAATCGTTCCTCAAATGCTCCGGAAAATATATTCCTGAAGGATTCACGTTGGGCGAGCATTTGAAGATTAGCGACCCTTTCGAGAAAACGGAAGCCCTCGCAGTTGGGAGAAACTCGACATCCGCGTTCAGGGTCCGCCAGAGAAGAGTCGGGAGATTTCCCCACCTGGGAACTGGCGGATGAAAATGACCGGCACAATCAAGAGAATGTGCTCAAGTCGGATTTGGAAACTCCGAGTGACTGTTCGGCCGAACTCGTGGACAAGCCCCGACCTCTTTCGAACGGCTCTTTCGGAACTTTGAAGGATTCGCTCAAGAAGTTCTTAAATCGGAACAGCACTAGCGTACCCTGCGTAGGAAAGGTGGGAGAGACGGAAAGGGGTTTAATCAAAAGCAGTCTTGCACTCGAGAGAGCGGATGATGGGGTACTCAGCACTGATTGGGGTAACCTACCGAGGGAGGGCTAAGAGAGAGTGGGAAATAGCTAGAGAACACGGCCTCGGCAGCCATGATCACTATGGCGACGACAACGTCGTCGACCCTTTGGCAAAACATACTCGAACAGAAATTGATGACCTCCCAACAAAATAGAAACTCGCCTTAACACTGTCAGGGGATCACGGACCTTGTTCTTGCTTCTGTCTGTCTGCCTGTCCACGCGTTCTCCTTTGGCAGCCGCCACCCACCGTCGATGCGTCTTCGAGTCGGTTCACCTGTCCAGAAGGAGGGGGCACACCGACCGCTCGGAGGCAGTTCGTGTTCGTCTTCGCTGCCGTCAGAATAGCCCTACGCGTGCCACAGCTTTTCACCGACCCTCTTCGCGCCTCTCTGACAGTACGTTTCACCACCTGCGCACCTGATGGAGGCCTGCGGTCTGTCTGGGCCTGGTCTGTCAGGACACAGTCAGTCGGCCGTGTGTCTCACGGTTGGAAGGCTATTCTTCCGAGGCAATACTCATGGAATGCGCATATGCTCTCGCCAGATACGACGAGGTCTTGCCTAGGCCTTCTGTCGCAGTGCATCATGACGCCATCACCACTGTGAGCACTGCAATAGCCGCTGCGGGGAAAAAGTGCTATAATCACCCTCGGCACGTGTGTTCGTCCTCCACTCATTGTGGGGCTGCCGATCTTCCCTTGACTTCCGTTCGTCCGGGGTTTGTAAAGCCAAGGCTAGAGGTCTGCCATTTTACGAACCAGGGAAAACGGGCACCTTCGTAGTTTCCATTCCCAGGATAGAGATACGGCTTCATGAGTCGGCATCCATGGGAACGGTCCGAATCGGAGCGCTTCTTGCTCAGGGTTTCACTCTGATTGGTGGGCGCTGAGGTCAGCCTCTGACAAAGCTGTGATTGGCTCCAGTTTTCGTTTTACCGTACAAAAACTCCGTCCCATACATGCTATGCTCTCACCGCTGCAACGATAAAACAAAAAAAAAATACCGAGAGCCCCCTCCAGAGAAATTTCCCGGAGACCTTCGATCGACTCTAGACATACATATGCAGCTTCGCATGTGAAGTTCTCGCCGCGCCTGGCTTGAGTCCGGGGACAGAACCCATGTCCGGGGAAGGAATCGATACTCTCGGTAGGCTCCTCTAGGGAGTCCTGTGAGAGCGAACGATTCGGCGAACAGAAGGCTCCGTAGAGAATGATCGGCCAAGATTATCGCGGGAGCAACAGGACAGGACGAAGGGGAAAAACGTCGTGGAAACGGGATCACCGGTGCGGGAGTCCTCAGCGGTGCTCCCGAATTACTTCGATGTGCTCTGACGAGCGGCTAGTTTCTCTAGACGGCTTCCTGAGCGTCGGCTTGCGAAACAACTCGACCAGCTAATAGGATCGTATAATATCCCCTCCTGCTCAATCTTTTGCTCCGAAAACGTCGAGCATGCCGACCGCGGATAGGGGCAAGCTGAAGTTCGTCAAAAGTTCGTGACAAGAGCGAGCAGACGGCGCGTGACAACTCAACCAAGGAGGGTCCCAATCTGTAGGTTCGACCTATTCATGGTAAAAACCAGCACTGGGCGCACGTCTCGCCCTATCGATTCGACCGTAGATCGAGATCGATCGGACTGATCTGCTGGCGCCTCATGCGATTCGAGAGCTGCGCCGAGTCGTCAAGGGAGCCGGAGCTGTGCTCACATTCTTGACGTCGAGAAATGGAGACAATCGAGGGCTCAACTGCGGGTTTCGCCGATCCCAATGTCCGCGGCTTCGCAACACGAGGGAGAAGGCGATCAGGGGTCGGAAGCTCAGAACAAAAGGATAAAGGAGACCTTCATCCCACTGAAGCTCGTGCTCCTTCTCTCGCAGCTTCCTGGTGTCTTCCGTCCGTCCATTCTCGGCCTTTCCGCTCCCCGGCTTCCGTATGATGTGCGTGTGATAATGTTTGCATCACTCGTTCACACAGGACCCGAGCAAGTAGACCGGAGAAGCAAGCGAAGATCTTCCGCCCTGCGCCACATGTAAGCCTCGGCCTCCGGAACTCTATTGTATGCGAGTTCGTTTGTAACGGGTCTCGGTCCACACCAACCAGTGACTGAATCCACCGCACACATCCTGACTGCATTATCGCGGGTCAAAACCTCCCTCGAGTATATGGATCTTGTTGACAAAGGATTTCGAGTGCAAACCCGACGGTCGAACCAGTTCAGACGCAGCATCATGAACTTATCTGAACACCAGTCGTTCTCGGAGTCGATGACGTCACTTTTTCATTTCCCGAATCTTTTCTGCTGCATCATCCTCCGAAGTGAGAAGCTCAGAATTCGTCGGAGAGGCGAGCAAGCAAACATAACAGTGGAGGCAAGGCGAACAAACGGAAACCAAATACAGTTGCCGTCGAAACTTCTTCTCTTGTGAAAGCTATCGCTTCGAGGCATCATCACCGCCACGAGCATCACCTCCGCCATCACAGCCGTCGCCTTCAGTTGTCGAGAAGGCGGCGGCAGCGGTGACGGCCGCGCAAAGTCGGTAGCAGCAACGAAATCACTAACCTAATATTCTCGCAGTTTCGGAAGACGAGCGAGTCGGGCAGCTAGCTCTCTGGACCGAAAATGTTGCTCTTGGTCTAATCAGGAGTTTATTCAATGCTCTTCAAGGCACCTTCAATACTCAACCTGCTCCAATGTTGCGTTCGTGCATCATCAACGAACAGGAACTCAAGTATGATGAGACGCGACAGAACCTCACGATATTCGTCGACGAAGTGCGACCACTCTCATTCGACAATGGAATCGACTACATCCAGGTAGAACACGGGACAATTTTGAATTTCCGGTGAGTCCTAGTTTCCCTAGTGTGCCGCAAGACCCACGGATCGATAAGGCGGAGTTCAGATCGAGACCGGGAAAAATTGATGCACCGGCTCGAATACGGGAAAAATAAGCTCATTCTTCACGGAAATACCGCATGAGCCTCCTCACGAAACCCCCGATGGGAGCTCATGCCCAGCACCGGCTCCGAGAAAATATTGCGGCTGTCAGGGTGAGACGGCCATCGCGGCGGCCAGTCCAGCGATTTCGAGATATGCTGTACGGGTCTCAAGCGATCATGCCCCCGAAGGCTTGAAATCGAAAGCGTTCGCTTGGAGCTGACAGAATGTAAATTCAGGAGCGATAAAAACAACAGAAAACCGAGAAGCGACTCGAAATCATAAAATACTCGGAGATGGGGGAGAGAGGAGGGATAGGTCTCAGATCCTCCGGGAAGGCTTGCTTCTGAATTTCTCTCCAGCTTAGCTCCAGTGGAAGCTCCGAGCTCCCGGATTCCTTGTCCCTGTCTCTAGGAGACTTTCACTTTCTCGAGAGGCATCGTCGTATCGCTTTTATGAGGGCAATGATATTAAACGAAGCTCCGCTACTCGCCGCCGTCTTCTCCTTCTCTCGACTCGCATTCGTTGATGCCATGCAGCTCCGGTTCCCCATGAAAGCATCGATCCCGATTGCCTGCTCATGATCATCACCGTGGATTCAAGATCGATGCGCTCCTGTTTTGCAGATGTAGCGATATTCGGAAATTCAAACTCGAAGGCGTCACGATCACCAAATGCGTCGACGGTGAGTGGACCGAGGACATGCCTGAGTGCCTTCCCACAGCTGGAATTTCGAACGCCAACTCAACTCGTAAGTATATCGAGAGATCGATGGCTAGACTTATAAAGAGGATGTGAGTTGAAACTTGACCGCGTCTCGCCCGGTCGGGCGAGGGGGTCCATATCCTCGCGCGGCTGCTCGCGTAACTGCGATCATCTTTTGGAAGTCTCGCCATACTCCTACTCGTCTCCGCTCTTCTTCGAGTAGACACCCAAAGCCGTCCGCCTCGCTCAGGGCCGGCCGACCTACCGTTCGTTCGACCGACGGTCATGCCACTCCGGAGCTTTCCGCAGCGGTTATTGTTAGGCTTTTAACCTCGAACGAGCTCACCAGCAAAGTTGCTCATCTAGGACTCATGGACGGTCGTTATACTGAGGACCACGGCGCGTTGTCCTTAGCACGATGGTCGGATCAAACAATAGACCTCGCTGCCCTCCAGCTACCGACTCGACGATAGCCAGAAGCCTTTGTTCTACGCTGCCCCGGTGGGCGACCGAAGTCGCCATCGTCGACGCACTCTCTCTGTTATATCCTCCCGCCCGGAAACCGGCCGAGATCGGCCTCGACTCCTTGACCGCAGCCGCCTCTGTCGAGTTGCTTCGCTCTCGTGCTCGAGGCCCAGGAAGACAGATGATCCAATCGCAGGCGTTGAAAGGCATCCGTGAATGCTCGCGGACTCCACACGCGCAATCGCTGCCATGTTGCTCACACCTCTCGCCAGGACGGAAACTCGTGCGGACCGAACGGAAATGGTCGTCTTGAGCCGAGATCGAGTGGCGCTCCGGCGGCCGTGCGATCGAGCGCTGGATGGACGCTCCGTAAATGTGCTATGACCTCGGGATGAAGTGGTCACCGGTCCCTAGGGAATATATCGTCCCGAACTGGGAGCTCGTGGAACGAGTTCAAGTGGAGTTGAAATGATATTCCTCAGATCTGAGGAGACTGGCAGCTTGAGAAGAGTCCACGTCTCTTCTCGTCCGGGCCCTCATCGACCTGATCGCCGCGGTCCTCACAAATCTGCGTCGCAATCGGCTGAAACATCTGCGGAATCGGTCTGACGTGAATTTTCATCCCCGGACGCCCCCTCCCCGTGGTTTCCGGAGAGAACTTCGGAAATTCCCGTCTGAATGAGCCCGATATAGGATTCGGTACCACGGAATCTCGCACAAATCTGCGCTCGATATCCCAGAGGCTTCGAATTTCCGTCTATTCGTGGCTTCATCCTACGGCTCATCACACATGCTTCCCACGCGAAGAACGATCCGAAGTCATATGCAGCCGATTCATGGAGTCTGATGAGTGCTTTCGAGGCTGCCAACCTCTGCTCCTTTCCTACTTACCTCGACATTTCATTCTGGCGGGGGAAGTGCCCTGATTTCGGAGGCTTGCCTGTGTTCCCCTGTCGGTGAGGACGATGTAGAGCAGCTCACAAGCTCGGGAAGGAGCTCTCGATGGTAGTCGTGATTGACGGGCAGACCCCTATACCTACGACCTACCCTGATATTCCTCCTCCGGAATAGCGTCGCTTTCGGATAAATTTGCTGCGTCCTCGACGGGAATGAGCCTCTCCGTCGATCGCGAATCATATCCCCGCGCCAATATCTGCGAAAGCGAAGTTGTGTGCTCTGAATATTCGGGCGGGGCGGAAAGGACGTGGGAGGGAAGCAAACTGGAATTCCTGAATACGGGCGTCGAGCTGGCTCGCGTAACGTCTTGGTGCCATGGGCGCTTCTCCTCTTCCAATATGCTCTTTCTGATTTCGGTGGAGCTTGATAATAACGCGTGCACTGGGAGCAAACTTTTGGTCGTTTCACTTCATGACGTCTTGACAAACGCTCAATGTTTGCTTTCGAAGAAGCGGCAAGACTTCCAACCGCGCTACCTACGGTGTTTTCAACGGAACGCCTGCAACTCCCACGTCGGAATCGGGCACGCGGCTGTGAACCTCTGCCGTTCTCTTCCTGTCGTTTTTCCCCTGGAGGGTCCCGATCGAAATCCGAAAGAGAAATGTTTTGAAGCGAACGAGTCCCAAGCCTTCCCTTGAACTAAATCCAATCGGCTCTGACCATCCGATGCATAGAACTTGTAGAACAGCGGAGGGTAATGGCGCGGGCTGAAAGAGAGAGACAAGATTCCCAATCTCCGAAGCGAATGCGACTCACGAAATTTCGAATTCCACCCTGTCGAATGAGAATCAAATGCATATGTATTAACGTTCGATCCGAATCTCTTCTCCCATTCGTTTTCAGAGGAGCAGTTGGAGTACCCGCCGACTTTGGACTTTCTCGTAGAGAAAGGTGAATTCGGGATCTCGGAAACTGGCGAGCTAGTCATCTCGCCCGGCTCGAATCTTTATCTGTACTGCTTATTTGAGCGACACGTTGGAAACCCCTCCTGGTCTTGGACAGCAGAGCGCGACTACGGCCGCGTATGGGTGCTCAAAGATAACGAGTGGAGGTAAGAGCTCAACGCTAGGACAGCGGAGGATTTAAGCAAAGCCACAGTCACCGCCAGCGTCGACGGCCCCTGTCTCGTGTATGAACTGATACTTCTAAACAACCGGCCGGACAATACGTGCACCAGAGGTTCTGAATAAATTCCTCCGACTCGGGTTGTCCCGTCTCCTGTGAAGGAGCGAACAAATACCGCGCTTTTGACGAGTAGGAATTCTCCGTCCTCGTCTCAGGAGCCGGGTTCCCGCCCGAAATGAGCTCAAGCTCGGCGATCCCCTACGAGGAACTCCGTCGTCTCCGTCGGGCTTTCCTCCAGAGTTTCCTCTCTTTGATTCCGTCCATGTGCGCGGCGCGTCTCGATTGTAATCTGCGAAGTTTCAATCGTTAATTAGTTCGTCTTCGTTCCGTTTCAGTGAGAGAACAGCTTAGGCGAAGAGAGTCTTCAGAGCAGTCGCGAAAAAATCGAACGAGCCTACTGCTCCTTTGTATGGAGCATATTTCCCTCTCTCTCACCCAGTCTTCGGGACGGAGAAGAAGAGCAGAGCTTCTCGAGCCCGACAGCGGCCGACTCGGCTGATATGACTCCCCTCGAGGCTGTTCGTACCCCCGTCTCCGCGGGCTGGTCGACTCGCTCGTGCGTTCCTAGCTGGCGTACTCTCACGATCATTTTGTCAGGCGCGCAACGAAAAGCCCATTAATCACGAAGCTGGTGCATTTCAATAACTGAGGGGCTGCAGGCGGCCTTGGGGTCAATGAGGGCTCCCGACTCCCAGCGACTCTCGCACATTCTGGAGGGGGTTCTCGTCCGCGCCGGAGACGCAGGATTATTCGAAAATTAGAAATCGTTCCCGACTATGACATCGCCTCTCGAGGCTCCCTCTGTCCTCTATGAGATCAGCCCGCTGAACGTGCCCTGTAATTCCGTCGTATAACGGATGGGTTTCAGTCCGCCTGAGATGAGGAGCTGATTCACGACTTCTTGCTCGTCTCGGCCAAACATGCGGGACCGACTAAGTCAGGAGACGAGTTCGAACGCGGGAGCGCTGAGACGGCATTCCCACCCGTGCTCTACAGCCCTTCAGTCACCTTGTAGCCTCAGGAGATACGTCGTCCATAAATCAGCGGGGGAGAAATGGCCTGAGCCCATTCGGAAAAGTTTCGAGAATGGCTTTCGAAGGGAATGAGGGAGATCGAGGGCTCTGCGTGAGAGCTAGCACGACGCTCCTGGCGTTTCTCTGTGAGCACATTTCCCCAGACCATGGTCTTCTGCCTTATCGAGGACTCAGGAATCACATATAACTCATGTCGATCTCGAGACCCTACGCTCCGCTTGCCGGCGAACACGAATACCGGCGAGACTCGCAGACGAAACCGAAACTGCAGCAATAAGTATTGCGTCGTCATCCGAGTTGGCAAATGATCAGTGCTCAACAGAGGTCCCGTCCTCGAGATCCCGGGCGAGATCGACTGAACCTGTCCCAAAGCTTTCCGAGGAAATCAGGTGAAAAACGTTCGCTCACGTGACCTCTACAGGATTGCGGTGAGGGCGTTTTTTCCAAACATCCAGAAAAAAAACTCTCCTTCAGCGTCTCTCCTCTCCCTTTCCGCCGCCTCGTTGGCCCGTCAATGTGGTTAGCTGGTTCCTCCGTCTGAATGCTTTTGATCCATTGTTAGATAAGTACTCAGCTGCTCCTCTGCCGGGGTCCTTGAGAACAGCGATGGAGAGGAACGTTGCAGAAGAGACGAGAGAAGAAAGACGTTAAAGGAATGGGGAGCAGCGTTAGGTGCCGCCGTTCTCGACGACGGTCGTGGCAGAAGTGGTGGAAACGATTCGCCTCCGATTTTCTCGGGGAACGCCGTTTTTCCGATCTTCAACCCTTTGGTCATTATGCTAAGGGAACTGTCGGTCGCGAGATCTCGCTCCACGGCCGATATCAACCGAAACTGCTTAGGCTATTCGATGCCCTCCGCGCTGTGGCTTCCATGACTATCCGCATCGGAAGGATGGATCCTCCGATAGGAGCGAGTACCTAAATTGCTTAGGCTTGCATTCAGTCCGAATTTTCTCTCCATATGCTCATAACAGTCGCTCCTTCCTCTGCAGATATGAGCTCATGATGTACGGCGCTCGGGACGAGGATTCTGGCGAATTCTCTTGCACTACTCCACGGGAGAAGAAGAATTCCATCACTGTAAAGGTCAAAGGTGCGATGAATTTAGAGCGCTCAGGTGTTTGTTGCTCGCTGAAATTAGGGCGACAGTAGGACAGTGAAAGTCACAATATCGACATCATTGGAGCACGTGAGAGCTCCCGAAATATCTTCTCGCTAAAAATTAGGCTTCAGATCTAGACGTCTAAACGGCGTCAGCAATTACTGTTTTCTTTCGAGGTCTCGACGCTTAACAAAATCTTTCCCTTAAGGAGAGCAACAGATTACGAATATTCCTTGGGTCTCTGCGAGACGACAGTGAGAATCGGGATATCATAGATTTCTGAGCTATTGCGTTCTTCGTATTGATGGCTGGGGCTGCTATACTTCCTCATTTTTTCTGGGCTTGCTCGCTCGAAGACGGGAAACATTGATAGAGGGCACCCGTCTCAATGCCCTATTGGAGCTCCCATGTGAGGATGAAACCCGGACGCTTCATCAGAGTAGAAAAATGCGGAGACCTCGCGCCAGGCGTGATCTCGTCGTGAACGCTGAGGTGAAGAGAAACTCCGTGGTCCTCTCCTTCACGACTGATTAGAGAACTAGGGACTCAAGGAATTCGACCATAATCTTGCTTCTTCCGAATGATTTTCCGGCGCTTCGATTGACCTCTCGCACAATGTCGGGTAGGAACACTGATGACCTTTAGGCCTCCGCTGAATTCCAATCGTGTTGATGGTAGCGGATTAGTCCAAGTCAATCGGTCGTTCCGCTCGATTTCTGACGCGCCGCTCCGCGTGCTTCAACTGCCCAGCCTGTCTCGGGTCATATTTAGTCGAAATTGGATCAATATTCGGACAGTTTTGGATTAAGGAGTGAGATAATCGATCTCAAGTAGGGGGAGCACTTTGGCGAGAGGGAACGAGGATTGGAACGCTGCCTATAATCTCTGGTCATCGGCAGCGGGGAGAAGCTGCGTCGCCGACGATACATACCAGAGGCTGGTCCGATTTTTGGACTAGGTAGAAAAGCGAAAAATGCCTCGATTCCCTCGTAAAGCTTCCGAGCTCCTTTCATCGAATGGAAGATTAGAGCCGAGACGGTACGGCTTCCTCTGAGTCCAAAGTCGGTGGATCCCGCTAGATATCCGCTGCGGATGGTTTCATCTTCGCCTATACGTTTTTCAGAGGTAACGTGCGGGAAAATCGAAGGTGAACACGACGACAACAGAGTGACGTCGGAATATCAGAACCGACTTCATTCTCGCGCCAAATTCGCCTGTATGGAGGGCTACATGGTCGTCGGATCGGAAGAAATAGTCTGCCTCGCTTCGGGTAAATGGTCCGACAGAGCTCCTTCCTGCAAACGTAAGTAGCGCACTCTCATGGCTAGTCCCTACGACGCGCTAAGGTCTTCTCGGTCAACTGTTCCTCGCTCGCCCTGTGTCACCGATGATGTAAAAGACAGCATTGAGCACATGAGTTGATGGCCTATCGAAGGATACCGGACACAGCGGACAGATTCGACTCCGACTGGATATTTGAACCTCAGAAGAGTGAGAAGGAGGGTGTTGGTTGATTTTCCAGTGTCCGTGTCATCGAGCAGATATTCCTAACTGCGACGACTTTCGGACCGCGAGGGCGATCAGTATTTTCCGGGATATATTTTTGGGACTCCGACTTCTGACTTATCATTCTCACTCTCATGATAGAATCGCTCTCAGCGATTCCGACGCCAACGCCCAAGGATTTAGGAGGGAGGACTGACGCATCTACATTTCGGATGATGTTGACCCTCCGTGTTTCATTCAACACCGGATAGGCATGTCGGCATTGACAATCTCTTCACTGTCCATCTTGTCCTATACACAGTGTTGAGCGAAAGGTATATCACATTATCAACATTGTTGTCTTTGCTGTTGTTGTCGCTTCAGCCACATGTCCTCCACATCCCGTGCTCTATTCGTGTTTGCTCCCCTTCACCCGCGAAGTCGAACGTTGAGCATCTCAGCTCGCAGGCCTATCGCGATAGCGCATTATACTCCTATTTCCTCGTCTCTCCGACGGCCGCTGGTTCAACCGGATCTTGCCAAGAGCGGAGATCGTCAGCTGACGCTCTAGTTAGTCGCCCGATAACTGTTCGAAGGATTCCATGTTGAGCGTCATCGTCCGGCACCAGGTCCCACGTGCTTCATCTGTGGGCACACTTCATTAATTGTCCGAGGGACTAGGTCTCACAACTGAGAAGAGACCAGAATAGCTCATGATGTTCCATCGCGAAAGAAGTCAGATTCAACTCAGAGGCTGCCGATCCGCTGTTGATCAGAAGATGAGTCGATGAAGCGGAATGCTGTTCCCGACATCAGGCTCATCGATCCAACACCGGAGAGGTTTTCCGCGCTCGCGAAGATCCCCGGAGTTTCACCGAATTTTGCTGCGCCGCGAGCGTCTATTCTGGTGCCCTCTGCTTTCGTGGAAGTTTGAACGGGTCCGTTCTATCCGATGACGTCGGAGGCATGTCTAAAGTTCTAAACGACCTCCTCTACGATGTGGAAAATGTGCAAAAAACAAAGTTCGCGTGGGTATCCCACTAATGAGTCCTGAACAGGTGCTGGGTGGCGTCGTAGAAAGTTCTCGCTCCAGTTCCGAGATCGCAGGAATCTACACCGCCGCCTCCTGCGCGACAGCAGCTCGACGACATGACCGAATCCTATTCCTCGCCAACTTTCCGGCAACCTAACTCACCAACCCGTCGCACTTGACCGGTGTCGATGAATCATCTCGTCGCCCGGAGGGCATCCAGCTCGTGGTAACTGATCTGTCGTCTCGACGCTTCCATATTCAAAGTCGTCTCTGCTGGCTTTTATGTACGGCAACGGAATCTGGGCCCTCTCAGCTCTCACGTGGCTCCGCTACGAACTCGTCCGGTCTCTCGGCCCCCTGTATCCCAGCGGCCAAGCTCGACCAGCTCTCGAAGATACAGCGGGCATGGATGCGAGACGGGAAATTATCCATCTGAGGTTTCTCGAGTTCTTGGATAGTCATAGAATTCTCAATTCCCGACTGGGCGGGAGGAAGTTTGAATGTTCCAACAGAGCCGGACGTTTCAGGCCCGTGAGTGTTCTCGATCCATTTGATACGTGTTGCGAAGTCACGCTCTGAATTTTCCTCCAGTTGATCTGCTTGCTGTCCGATTGGAGTCCCCGGTGTCTGTCACTGTCTAGGTGGTACTAATGACCTGATACGGATAGCGTCGCCCCCGCGCCACCGGAACAAACTTCGTTTCCCGATTTTACGGTGATTGTTTGGTGCGGGTTTTATTACCTTTGAGCGCACCGTGATCCTGCACGTGTTCGCGGAAAGGCAGCGGCGGTAGTGGTTGCTCGATCAGTGTCCCGCATTTATCTGGGATCCGCTTTCCGGTTTCATCAATTAACGGCGCGTATAAATACCATGTCACGTGTTGTTGGATTTACCTTCACAGACGCGTGTTCAATGTCGCTGCGGACAGATAACTAGGAACGGCCAATACGAGACTACCAGGATAGTAAGAATCGAGACATTCAATTAGAGACTTGCAGGACTCCCTCATTTGGGAGCTAATCCCGAATGAGGGGATAAAGCCATGTTGATTCAAGTTGGGGTAGAATATCAACCCCTTCACGGGATCGAGCTCCGTACAGCGTAAAGCAGTGAATGACTCCAGACTCTCGCACATTCGATCCACAACGGGAGTCAGTCCTCGGAATGACCTGCCGCCTTCTACGATCCGTCTCCGGGCTCACGGTGAGATAAACGTTCTCTCCTTGGAGCGAAAACTCTGCCGGGGACCGGATCTTTGACCTAACGGAACTTGCGATCCCGATATATCGGTTCCCCTTCAAGAGTTCGTTTCTTGCACCGCGAGCTCATTTCCTAAGGCGTATGTACTACGGTCGGCGTCACTCCATGAGTTACCGGCACAGCTTTATTTTTTCAATGAGACGGCGCAGCGCCGAATTTCCCTCGACTTGAATATGAGACTTTGACTTCAGCTATGGAGCATTGCCCCGCTATTCTCCGCGACAGGGTCAATGGCTGCGGCACCGTCGACGTCTGGGTGGCGCAGGGCCATTAAAGTCCTTTTCTTACTCTCGCTTTTTCTCTTCATTTATCCCACTTTTGTCTCATCCTTCGGCTCCGAAGAGCGCCGCTGACGGAGACGGGGCCGCCGTCCTCTTTCTCCCGATGTCACTGCGGAGCTGTACATTCTTCCAACACGCGGTTGAATGAGCTCCCTCTGCGATGAGGATATTCTCATCGCGACTCTTGCTAATCTAATCTCCCTCGAGCCACATGAAGTAGAGGGAAAATCCGAAAATATTAGACTCGAGCTCGGTTGGAGATAGGTACTTTCCTTCTCTCGAAGCCTATGCCGTTTAATCTCCCAGAATTTCGAATTCTCCGAAACCTTCCAACCTTCCAGGGCCGAGGTCCGTGATCGAGACCAATCCACGGAGACAAAATCCTCGGCGAATGATCGTTTCGGGAGCTGTGATGGAAACTCGTCACTTCTAGGGTCGATGAAATCTCAAACACTCGCGTCATTGCTTTCTAGGAATTCTGTGTCCACCGATTGTGCCGAGGAATTATGTAGAAATGAGCTCGCAGGAACGGACCTTCGGGAGCCGGGTGAGCTTCAGTTGCCCCGGAGGACAAAGGATTGTGGGAGCCGAGTCAATCACGTGCCTCCGTAATGAAACCTGGTCAGATATGCCACCGAACTGTGAAGGTAAGCTTGAGTCCCCGAGCTGTGCTGCAGAGCTCGCCTGATTGCAAATCATCACTCGTTCGGTGTTGTCGGTAACTGTTCCACTCGCCTATCGGCTCCTGCCAGAATTTCGAAACGTGACCGGAATACGGTAGAGCTTCTCAAAGTACCTCCGGTCAAATCGAAGGGAGGGTCTACGGGCCGGATCACTCATCGTCGATGGACTATGTGGAGGAGGTGCAAACAATATCAGCGGAACCACGCAGCTCCCGGTAGTATGAGAATACCAGCCCGGGTCAGTCTCAGGAGCCGGGAAATATTTTTCGTCGACGAGGAGAAACAGGGATAAAGGCACCACAAAGACACGCCCCGTTCGCTTGTCTGCCTGCTCGTCCGTAGGTGTTCGGTCCTCAGTCCGAGAGGCCGACGAGGTCGTTGAGTCTCATTCGAATGCGATGCGACGTTCCAGCAGCAACATCCTTCAAGGAATACGTTATGGATTGGACCCGCCGCGTCAGCGGAAGAGGGAGCGGAATGAAGGAGAGCACAAGGAGAACGAGAGATTTATGCCTTCCTCAGAAACGCTCCAAATATGTTTTCTGCTTCTATTCAGGACACTTAGGTCGAGCGATGCATGCTCCTTCATCGCCTCTGTTCCTGACGGTGAAGCATCGAGCTCGCGGAGTGCGAGCGTGTGTACTTGGTTGCAGAGCGCTCCACTGTATAGCTTCAGGAACAACGAACGAAAACTACGATACGCCGGATGCCGTGAAACATGATACGTGCGTCTAAAAGTCTAATTCGGTGCTTCCCGAATGACTCGCAGCGAAGTTCACGCTTTGTTCGTTCTACGCGAGGTCTCTATGGGCATTGCTGTTGGGGCAGGCCCGAGCCCGCCACGGAGGGCTGAGAACTCACCTACAATGAGCGAGAGCCGAGCTCTCCCAATGCGTTCCAAATAGGCGGCTCGCTGATGAGAGTTTTTCCTCAGAGCACCCCATCTACGTACTCCGGTCAAAACCTGTTGTTCTTCTTTTCCAGTGGTTCGTTGCGAAGCGCCATTGCCTCCTCCAAACGGCCGGGTGGTCTACTCGGGTAAATTCCTGCCCGCAGGGGAGATCGTAACTTACATTTGTAACGCCGGACACGTTCTCATTGGACATTCGCAGGTAACGAGATAGAGCAGCCGACTAAGCTGACAGCCGAAAAGCGTAGAAACATCAACCGCTCCTTTGCTAGTTCCATCTATCCCTCCCGGTCAGACCACCGAAATCGCTACGCTCAGGAAGCCCTCCCAGGGTTCTGTTCAAAATTATCTGAAGGAGGCTCCCGGGTGTCTCCCGGTTCGTCTGCTGGGTGCTCTCGCTTTCTGAGCACGGGAATAGCTGAATGAGCTGAGGTTCAGATCAGCTAGATGCATCAGCGCTTGCAGAAGATAACATGCGCGACCGACGGGGAAGTCAATAACAACTCTAGTTTGGATCGCTTTTGCATGGGATTGACTCGTTTTCCCCCCGAAACGAAATCATCATCCAAACAACAATTAAGGGTCTATTTCACTATGGGGTCTGTCACAAACTTTGTGACAGACTGGAAAATGACAGGGGAGAACATTTCTCAACAAACTTTTTTGTGTGATGCCACCGCCCCTGCTGCAATTTCGTGGCCAACTCGGGCCGGGATTTTGGTAGGCTGTTTGTCTGCCCTGCCTTCTGTCGTTCGGTCGGAGGGGGGCTCGTTGTCAGAGTCTCCTATTTGTTGCCCCCTCTCAGTTTGCTGTTGCAGATGATGCTGCTGTATTTACCGCCCCCGCCATTACGGCCTCTGGAGTGTAGTTGCGGTTGTAGTCATCATCGGGCTGAGTTTCTGACTGCCGCCCGGCCTGATCGACAAGCGATCTGCGGCCGCTGGGTCCGTGTATAGGCCGATATATTCCCTGTGAGCTAGATCGAGTAGGCTTCTGATGCTGGTACTCGCTGTTAGAATCGATTCATCCATGCCCGAACTTCGAATTGTAGGGGGCGCGGAACGTTATGGGGCTCAGACGTTATCAGCAAGAAGCTCTTACTTTTCATGGAGGCTCGGCTGAAGAGATCCGAGGAGCTAGAAACCTCATTTTCGGGAGATTCACACAAGTACGGCTGGGGACCTGCGGAGTACTTCCGAGTATTTTTTCTTCCCCCTTCGATGCTGCATCGAAATCTCCCACCTCTTGCAAGCCTCTCGAGAGCCGAGGCAGGCCGAATCTCGATGCTGAGTTCTGGTCACTCCGTACGACCAGGATTTTCGTGTAGCTGTAGTTCTTGTGCAAAATGGAAAGACGGGGATGCGCAGTAGCGGTAGTCGTAGCAGCACTCAGTAATGACCGAAGTTCATTGCGGGGCTCTGATCTATGACGGGTCTGAGGGCCTCGAGGAAGCTCCTTCGTACTCATGATGAGGAGTCGCTATTGCAGACAATGTGTCTCCACAACGGTACGTGGTCGCGCGGGCCGCCGCGATGTAAGCCGTCGTGCGAGTTCCCGGGAAAGCCCTCTCACGGCCGTCTGTTACCCCGAAAATTCCACTACGACGTCGGCGAAAATGTGCAGGTTCACTGTAATCAGGGCTATCGGGTGTTGAAGGTAAGTCAGGCGTTTCCGTCAGGAGCCTTGTCGAAGCATACTCGCTTTGTTTGGGCGCGCTCACCGCAAAAAAAGGAAACCCGCACCAGCCATTTTGCCACCGATGATTAACGCAATTCGAGGCGGCGTCATAGCGACTCGTTGGTGAAAACTTTAGGCAGAGTTGAGCGCACGCGAGAATGCGCCTCTAGAATACCAACGTGAGCCGGTTAGCGGTGAGGCACGCAGTGATGCACGGTGCGTACGCCGACGCCGCCATTGAGGGTGGTGAAGGCGGCCGGCGGTGGCAAACAGCGAGACTCTAACGAGCCTTTAATGACCATCTTGTCTCGCATTGCAGGCCCCTAAGCTAACTTGCATGGACAACGGACTTTGGTCTTCGCAAATGCCACACTGCCGACGGAAGCTGTCCGCTCATAAGAAGAAGCATCATATTCCGAAGCCAGTTCAGATCCAGCCGACTTCGACAACGGCACTTGAATAAATCAGCGATAACTCGTCATGCTGCTGTGTACGACGATCGTCAAGAGCTCGAACATCACGAGCACGGCGTACTGTAAATTCATCATCCATCGGGAGGATCATTGCCGCTGCGAGCGGCGATGTCGAGGGGAAAACTTGAATATGAATGAACGCAATGATGATAATAAAAACACTCAAGAGCCATTCTCTTTTTCGATTTACAAACAGGACGAGATTCCCGCGGGGCTCGCTCATGATGTGTGACCAAAATCGTCTTTCTTCTCTTTCATATAAACTCTTCCCGGATCCCCACATTTCATGAACCGACGATGATTCTCAGAATAATAATCATTATCGCATGCTACTCCCTCCTATCTTTCCTGCCTATCCGCGATCGCGAGCTCGAACCAATCATTTTTACGATGTGGAGGAAACAACTCAATATTGAGAGGGACGAAGCGACTTGGGACTCTCCCGAGTGGGGTCCACGTGGAATTCCCAGCCAGCCTCCGTAGGATATTCCAGAGGTAAGTCCCCCGTTCAAACTCACGGTCACGAGTTCCGCGCATCTCTTTCATGCGAATTCCTGCGAGATCGCTTCCTTTGGCAGACGGCTCGCGCCGCGCTGGACGAAGTCAAAAGTTCGGAGAGATGTTCGCCGGCTCCGGCATCACATGAGTGGTCCCGGAAGCGAATGAGTGAGCAGGGAGCCTATGCGTCGAGAGCGGGGCATCCGACAAGTAATTAAGCATACGGAAAAATTCCACCCCGTAGAATCGCTGCCGCACCCTCGAGCGCTCATGCGCGCTGCGGAACAATGACATTCCAGAAACGGAAAAGTGAATTGAAAGCGAGCCTCCAGCGAATGCGTCCTAGAATTACGACGAGGACAGGCGGCAACCACCTGTAGTTCTTCCCTCGGCTGGGGCTGCGGTATTCACCGGGATGGGATCTACCAGCTGGCAAGACAGCAGGCGAGCGTAATGGCGGCCGAGTGGGCCACTGCGGGGACGGATGGATTCGAGGTTGTCGTCTAATCGGAACCGCACCGTGTGTCGTCGCCAGCTGCTGTTCCACGCTTGTTGTCGGGAACGGTCTCGGGGCTCGCCGCCCCCGCCGCGCCCCGGGTCCGCCGGATCACCGTCGAGCCCCCGCCGTCACATAACTCGCTTTCTGAATCTTCCGGATTCGTTATTAAAGTTCCGTGCCCAGTGGATCGCCGACGAGCTCCGACTGGTGATGCGCGCCACGTTCCTTTGCGCCCTAACACGTCGACAAAGCCCGAGGCGGCAGGATGGAAGAGAAGGAAGGGAACCACAATAGCGGCGGGATCAGGAGCGTTCTGTTAGGCGTCGGCAGCAGCGGCGCATGCGCCCTCTATTCCTTGCGTTGGTCCGTCCGTCCGACGGACCGACCGACCGACGGGTGGTAGCGGCTGCTGCTGTCTCGGCCCTGTGTGTGTTCTGTCTGCCGGCGGCGGGCTGTATGTCGACGGCCGACCCGGCCGGCGGTCTATCCGTACGAAGGCGGCGGCGGCGGTGGCGGCAGCAGCATTGCCACCGGCCGAGTGCGCAAGAGGGGCGAGGTCCTGTCGAAAGCAGGAAAGGGTCCCGGAAAGGGATCACACTAGTCATTGACAGGAGCCCAGCCAGTAAAGAAAGAGGGTCCTTCGGGAAAGGACGTCAGACATGCGGGGAGGCCAACGAAGAGAGTGGTGACTCCGAGTTGTGAGTCCGAGCCGGCTCCCCATCCTCCTCCTCGACAACCAACAAGTGCAACTTACAAGTACAGCAACCATCGTCCTCGTCGTTCTGTTCTAGTCAGACCCGCGGGTTTCGCAGCCATTTTTTAATAGTGATTGCGCAGTTTTGGAACAGCGTGTTCGCGTACTGTGTTGTTGTTGTTCGACTCCTCCACGACGTTCAACACCCCACCGAAATTCGTGAGGCCCGTCGCCGTACAGCCGGCGTTGCGCCGAATTCGCCCCGGCCGCCAGCCCGCTCGACAGCATTTTGAATGCATCAGGAGCGGTGACATCGTTTTGCACTTCGTGCGTCTGGCGCACCGTGGGAAGTGGCCATCAACGTTCCAAGAGTCAAACTGTCAGAGACGTTTGAGAACTGTGAAGGGAGTGTCGTCGAGCAAGCGGCGTAGTCGAAACTGGTTCGGTCGCTTCGAGACCAGCAGATTGCACGTGTAGATCCGCCTCGGAGCCTCCAACGAACCGGCGCTCGAAATCCGCTGTTCCAGAAACGTCCGTGTCAGCGTCGATGACAGTTGTTGAGCGACGACGACGACAAGAGCGTCCTCCTCGTCGCCGCCGCCGCCGCAGCAGCCCCCCTTCCCACCGTGTCGCCCACCGAGCCCATGAGTGAAAGGTCGACCCCGAATGAACTGTACGGTCGCGGTGATCAAACCGGATAAGCGGCTGGGCGCGGAGAATACTCGGCCAGCTGTACTACTACCACTAAAGTGAAAGCCCCACGCTGTCATGCGTGACGTCAATGTTGTCAGTCATTCCGACGATCCGGTGGCCGAGCATCAAGCGTTTTCATCGGCATCGAATGCCATAATGAGTGCTGCCTGGTGGCAAAGGCGGCGACAAATGTGGCAATGAAACCACCGCCAAACTGGGTGTCACACACAAGAGATCGTTATGGTGGTCGTTTAGACGGAGAAGAAGAACTTGGCCAACTTCATTATCAATGAAGCTTCTCTCACTGATACCCGGGATAACATCGACGACGACGACGACGACGACGGCGGCGGTGAAGGCGGCAGACGTAGGAGCGGCGCCAACATCCGCAACAACGACGACAACAACAGCGTCAACAGCCACGTTGTCAACAGCCACGGCAAACACCGCGGCGGCGGCGTCGACGGAGTTCACATCGATACAAGCTACTCGATCACTGACAACAAGCAGTTCAAGTGAGCAGGTGGTTGAGCGAGTGAATTTCGCCGTGGAACTCGCTAGAGTTTTGGGTGGTGCATTCAGAGAGGCTCTAGGATCAGGTGGGCGATCCCTCTGCGCGGAGAGAGAGCTCAAGGTGAGTACCTTCAATGGATCGTGTTCGCTCCGGCGGAAGTAGTTACAAGTGACCACTGTTCGTTTGCGATGGGAGCGGGCTTTCCATTCATCGCCGGAATCCGATTCAGGCCGGCGAGGAATAATTTCCGAACCTGTTCCTGGCCTCTGGGATGAAGGGGTCCGCATTCAATCCTATGGTGATTGCGGAAAAAGTATTGATTGCTCAAAAACCTCCACAGCGGTGGTCGGTGTGGTCGACGTCGACGATGGTATTTTCTGACCGGTGAGAGGACGAGGGTCCACGGCCACGGTCGGGGACGCTTTGCCTTCTCCACCGGCGATATCGACACTTTTCCCTGTCGAATTGTGGAAGGCATGTGATCAAAGCCAATGGATGTTTCGAAGCTGCTGAACAAGGTACGAGCGGTATTCGATGCGATAATGTTGTCGCATTGAGATCACCTTCGCTGCCACCCCTTCGATAGGAACCTACCTCCCTGCTTCGGGACGAGGACAAAATTCTTCATTCGAGAGAGGCAGACATGCTGATCTCAATTCCGAGACCAGAGCGGACTCCCGAACGCATAGTGTCGAGGTCCCTTCAATTGTCGAAGCTTGAAACGGAGCTCTTGACCTCGGCGTGGATGTTTTTGACGCGCGGGAGGGAATAATAGGAGAAGAAGCAAGAAGCGATGGGGAGGAACGGTCGGTTGAGCTCGTCCTCCTTCATTCGCGCGGAGCCTCAAGGAGGAACGAGATGAGGAAACAGAGAACGGTCTTGCACCTTTGGTATGAATTTTAATGATCTTCCCCGACGCCGCACCGTCAAGTCCTTCCGCTCCGCTTCGGCTGTCCTACTTCACCCAACTTATTCGCAGAGCTCCACGAGGGGAGAATCGGGCGGGCGTGCGGCGGAGGCGGCGATCTGAGAGCAAAAAAAAGAGAATGAAGATAAATCATCGGCGTGAAGTGGGCCAGGAATCGGGCGTCGCGTACCATTGCGCGAGCATCGCTCAGGAGCCACCGCTCGGAGGAGGAGAAGAAGCTCATCGTGCCGGTCGCATTTCGCTAAGAATTTCCTTTGGAGTTCATAAAGGTCCCCCTTGCGGGCGACTCGCATTCCTTGCAGAGGTTCCAGCCTCGGCCAGGCAATGGAGGACCGGAGCCTCAGCGCGAGTGTTCATCCGAGAGATCCCCGCCCGCCTCGACCAGACTCAAGCGGTGATTTCCGGATAGTCAAGATACAAATCGGCTTCCTCGAGCGGGGACGAGCCTCCTTCCCCTCGTCCCTTCCCATGAATCGTGCCGATGGGCGCTTGGCGACGCTCGCCAACAAGCCTCTTAAATCGTCGAACATTCTGGTGTGCTCGTACTCCAGCGAATGCGATCAGGCAGCAAGCAAAGCTGTTGGAAACAGAGCCTTCGGATTAGGAACAAAAGCCCCCGTCGAAGGTGAAGCCCGTAGCTAACGACTGAAAGGTCGCTTTGCGCATGTTACGTCGAGGACACGCTCCGATGAGCCAAGCATCGTTTTTTCCCGTTCCCGGGCGTGAGACATCCTTTACTTTCGATGAACCCTCGCCCATTAGGTGCGGAATGGCTTCATTCATGGATTATACCGATACCGTTCCACTAGTTCCGCGCCTCTAAAAAAAAAATTCAGTGCAGGTTTAGCTTGAAGCCAAACCTGTGGGTTGCGTAGAACTACGTCAACGTACTCGAGGGGACTTATCGCGAGATCGCGATGAAGTCTATGAAGCGAATCGAGGGAAGATTTATTGTTTCAGTCTATGATTATGAAATCGAGATATAGATAGTTGAAGCGTGGCTTGAAAATATAGTTTCGCTATGAATTCCGATCCTGGATTCTGATTTGGGGTCCTCAAAGATAAGTTTCAACCGATAAAGTCCCGATCCAGAAGATAAAGTCTGGCCGCACTCTTCCGGAGCCGATGAGGTTCGATTCCAGATGAAAATCCTGGTTCCTCAACGATATGCTTCTGCCATCTCAAGTCTCGACACGGAGGATGAAGTTCGGACGCACTCTCATGAAGCCAATGAAGTTCGGTCCCGCATGAGAATCCCGGATCCTCAACGATATGTTCCTATCGTTATTGAGTCTCGATCCAAACGATCGAGCAGTCGAGCGGAGCCGTAATTTGATATA